AAATTCTTTAATTGGAGGCATAATGCCATCTTCCTGTTGCAATGGCAGCTGTAGGCGGTCGCTGTACCTGTTCAAGTTAATGACCGGGTGACAGCGGCCGCTTCTGTGAGCAGCAGTTCCCATGTAATCATATGTGATACAGTTACATGTGATTTGGAATAGATCATTGTCCCCGGATAGATGTGTCCAGTAACCGTTCTCTATTCTAAACCATATGTAATTGCACCATATATAATTACATGCAGACTGCTGCTTACAGTTACAGACTTGAACGGGTACAGCGGCCACATCTAAACTGGGATTCCTGCTGCAGGTATCCATAGGTTCCTGCTTCAGATATCCCTAATCGACCAGTGTGAATGAGGCTTTAAAGGAGAATTAAGGGGTGAGTGAAAAACACTCATCCCCATAATTCAAGCCGACCTGTGACACTGAAGCTGTCACAGGCCGGCTTTATTGATCATTAAGTCAGCAAACACATACTGCAGATCGCTGACTTTCTGATCCTCTCTGATGCTAATATGTGTGTGTCTTATGAAACATCTCATCAATGGGAAGAAAATGTTATCTTTCTGAAAATTAGCGTTTCAGTCCATAAACAATAATTTTCATCATAAACCCAATCAAAATAGACCAAGTCATTCATTCTATATTGTAACAGACATTTATTTGTGAGCTTAGGAGGGTTTGATGCAATCAAATCTGATTGATAATTTGTTACATGTATGACTAGAAGTGTGATAGCCATTTGACATTTTATGCAGCAGTTTTCGAGCTTTCTTTAGCTCTTGGTCACAGCATTCAGCCATCCATGGATTCAATTTTCAAGATAATAAAATTGGCACAGAAATGAATCCACACTGCCAGTAGACCGGTACTCTGGTGATTTTCAATTCGGTTGCTTTGGTCACTGTAAACTCGTAAATAAAACTGCAAGTGGTATATTGCCATGCTTTTCAACAGAAAGCTCCAAAATTGAGCAGAAAGTGTGTTGCCAGCTCAGTCCTGTGATGTTCGCCCTCGATGTACATACTACTTCTGCCTGGGTTTTAGAAGATTCAGCATCGAAAAAGGTGAGTGATATTAGGTTCTTAAATACAACAGCTGAAGGGAAGAAAATCAAAAGAGCAACTGCACAGTGCTGGATATTCAAAGTAAGATTGCAAACCTAACTATGATTTTACATACATCCTTTGATGGTATAGCGGTTAGGGCAGTTGCTGCGGAACCTTAAAGTAAATTCCCAGACAAGCAGCTGTGATAGCGTGAATTAATTACATGGTATTGTCAAATTAATGCAACACTATGTTGTGAATGGGCCCGCAATCTTCAGTGAGCCTACAGGTACACAGGAAGCTGATTTTGAAGTCCTGGCTGGACAGTGTGGCTATCACTGGTCTGGCATGTCAAATAAAAAAAAACCTTTGACAGGTACAGCTGCGCAGAAGTGCGTCTTTCAGTAGTTTTTCTAGTTATTTACATTCCATTTAAAAATATAGTTTTATAGCGTGGCCGCCTGAATACAATAGTTGGCAGTGGAGATTCCTCCATTTACATTGTATGGTGTGGATGGGGAGTTCCATCTCGCTTAGCCTGCGGGCTAAAAACGAAAACGCGTATGGCTACCTTTTTAGATTACACGCTTCACCCCTGTCACTGCTGATATATTCTGTCAGGTCTGGCAGCCACAGTGAAAATAAAGTCATCCATTCTCTACTATGGCTGTTTCGCAGTACAGCTCTGTGTGGTTCTTATGTTAGCGCTGACATCGACATTGATTTTATTTTTCTTGAGCAGCTCAGTATCTGCTTATCGGCATCAGGTAGCTGCAGTTAAGGCTTCTTGCTTTGTAAGCCTTACATTTAAAACTGATATAGGTTTCCTTGGTGGATATTCGAGATGCTATACAACTTTTTCAATAATCGATTATAATCGATTATGTCGATTAGTTGTTGCAGCCCTACTAGCTGATAATATCAACTATGATGGCTGTTTTTTCATAATTATTTAAAATCATATTTTTGATATTCTTTTTTAGAAACAACTTTTAATAATCGAATAACAAATGAGAATATGCAAAGCCCTACAAAATGTAGCAAATTGCTATATGTGTATTAGAAGTAGCAGCAACAAGAAAGTCTTTACCATCAACCTGTTTACAAATTCGTACATACATTCCTGTTACTTGTGACCCAAAATGGCCAACCCATGTTGGCCAACTTAGGATAATGGCCTCTTCAAATGAATCTTAAGCCAATAAAGACAGGTGAATTCAGTGTGCTGGTTAAGAGAGATGTTGGCTCATGCCATGTTCTTTAAACCGTACAACAGTGCAAGAACTACCAAATTGCAATATATAAGTCATTAACTAAATTGAGATGAAATGGGAGATAAAAATATTTGCACACTGGCATATATAGTAAATTACACAGCACAAAACGAACCTAGATTTCCTAACCTGATCTCCTTCCTTACAAAATAATAATAATTATTATTATAATACAGGATTTATATAGCGCCAACAGTTTTTTACAATATAAGGAAGACATTGCAATCACAATAAAATTCAAGACAAGATGGTAAGGAGGGCCCTGCCTGTGAGGGCTTACAATTTAAAAGGGAGGGGCAAGTGATACATGAGGAGGTAGCTGTTCTAAAGCCATAAGTCTCTCAATAATTTATTACAGTTCTGTAAGATATGACAGACCAGTAACCAACAGACTTGATGAAAGAATAGACTTGTGCCACGATGGGGTGTATCTGTTTGTCCACTACTGCTCAGAAGAAGTATTAGCAAAAGGAGGGGAACCTAGAAAAGATTGTTCCCATCTTCTAACCCCAAACAAGAAAATGGATAAATCTGTGGGTAAACTAGAAATTTATTTTTAATCAGCATGCTCCCTTGACCCTCTGTTATCCGGAGCTGACTTGAAACTAAGCATATTTTTCACACCAGCCTGTCCTGAACATAAGTCTTGAGTTCTGTCCTTTACCACTTACAGGTTTGCAGAGGGCTACGAGTGGTACATATCCAACACAGGAAACACTGGCCGAATGACATGACGTCTGTGTTGCTGGGTGTAATTACCATCTTTGGTAGATCAGGCAGCAAAATCCAAAAAGATCAGAAAGTAGAAACTGTCAGTTCTGCATAGTCTTTTATAACAGAAATAGACACCTTTTGACAAGTTTGGGTATCTGAGAGGTCATTGCATTAGGAAATTTTTTTGTAAATTTCTTACTTCTGAAGTACCTTATTAAAGCAGAACTTTGGGTAAAAATGTTCTTAACCCTTGCAGTGGGGCTTCCACCACACTTCAAGGGTCAAGTGCTAATTTTTGTCTAGGTTCAAAAATAAATTATGCTCACCTAATCCTCCAAACCAGCTTGCTCTTTGACTGGTCCCTTCCTCCTCTCTCCTCCATCGTTGCAGCGGTCAAAGGTTGCATGAGTCATTACGTCCAATCCCCCAGTGTATTGGACGTGAGGACATTTGAGCGATTTTACTATCGCTGCAATGGAAGAGACAGTTGGAAGGGTCCAGTCTACGAGCAAGCCGGATCGGATACGAGTATAACTTTATTTTTGATCCTGGACAAAAATCAGCACTTGACCTTTTGCAATGCAAAGCTAGACCCACTGCAAGGATTAATAAAATTTCTACCCCTGCTTTTTAAGTGTTTTTAAAAAATTACACCCCCAAACATCACTACGTTCAGGGAAAGAGATTTAAGTTACTGGCTCAGAACAGCAACAACTCCCAGGATTAATTTTGTTCTCCCCAAGCCATTGTGTTATTGGTCTTCCCTACCCCCCGTTTCTCCTAGTCCTCACAATCTTCTCGTCCTTTCCTACCCCTGTTTCTCCTAGGGCTCACAATCTTCCTTTCCTACCCCCTCCCCTCTCACAATCTTCCTTTCCTACCCCCCTCCCCTCTCACAATTTAGTCCTCACAATCGCCTTTCTCCTAGCCCTCACAATCCTCCCTTCCTTTCCTACTCCTAAGGCATCATGGGACTTGTAGTATCAAGGATGCAACTGTGGCAATAGCAAATCGTGCCTGGGCTATTTTTTTTACAAGCACCCACATCATGGCCTGGAATGGAACATGAATTATTGTTTAAATTATGTGACCATCCAGCACTGATGGGAAAGGTGGAGAACAATTGATTGCAGTTTTGCATGACTCTGTTAGGATAGATTTACAGGAGCTGCCATGATAACTTGTTCTTAAGGGTACATGCTCCTGGGCTATCATCTGTAGCCTTCACTACTTAGAACATATGATTTGCACATGCGTGTTCCAGGTCATTCATTCAGGAAAGGGATGACAGCCCTGGAGTTTGCACCTTTAAAAAAAGGTCAGCAAGGACAGCTTCCATAATTGTGTCCTAACTTTTCAATGAAAGCACACGTCTCATTTATGATATAAGAACTGAGAGTTATCATGGACAGTGCTGCTAAAGATAATATCTACAGAATTATCATGGACAGTGATAAACTTCTCATATGTACTGTAGCTTGTATTAGCTGAGACAGCCAGCTGTTTGTCCATATAAGAACTCTGCAGGGAGTGCTGTTTAAGCACGTATTCTGTGAATATATGTTGTCTTGTTTTCTTGTTGTGGTCTAAATCTGGCAGCACCGCTAAATATTGACATTTATCTACTGGAACATTTACTGGAGTTCAGCATTCTGTCAAGGCCAGAATTATTCATCTAAATCATGTAGGCACGCCACCCTTGTAATGTAAATCTCCATCTATTAGGGTAGGTCCTCTGTACAAAACAATTTTTATATTTTCTTATTCTTTTATGCAGCATACTTTTTGAATTGGCTGTCACTGTGCTTGTGCTGCCCTTAGGCAACAGCTTTCTATGCCTAAAAAGTCTAGTGCTGACTAAGGGTTTTTATCTTGCTGTTTACATACAGTGCAGCAGTTTCCTATCTGCTTAAAGGTGTATAAAATTATCATCAATCTTTTTTTCTTTTTCTTCTAGGTATGCCAGGCATGTACAATCCTGGAGTACAAATGACTCTACCACAGTCAGCAGTGAATCCCCAGCATCAAAATTGGGAAGAGGACATTAAAGCCCTCAAAGATATGTTCCCAACAACAGACCCTGAGGTCATTAAATCAGTCCTGGAGGAACACAGAGGGAACAGGGAAGCTGCAGTCAACTCCCTTCTACAAATTGTGGAAGACTCTTAGTGGCATCACCATCTTTTTGCCTTGTAGATTTCCTTTTCCTTGCCAGTGTCCTTTTTTGACTTGCCAAGATGGAATTTTCTTTGACTTCTTTCCAGCCCTCGAAATATTCAGTTGTGACTGATCATTTGTGTTTGTGTATTTGGCTTCTGCACAGTTAATGGTGTTGGAACTTTCCAAACATACTCCTGACCCTGCAGTGCTCTACTAATGGGAAAACAACCTACTGTATTTGCTTTTAAGCTCATTTGCAGTACGATGTATTCAGTGTGATTTTAAATGGGTCCTGGAAATGTCCAAAACAAATTTGGCCAGGGAGAAGATTGGCCAGCCTTTTTACCCAATCTTTGGGTCATGCTCAGGTCTAGGGGTTAGCTAAATCTTGATGTGATCATTTCCAAAGAGTAGTAGGTATTTTATTTATTTTGCAAGAGCACACAGTCTCTATGATCTACACAGGAACTTTCACAGGACTAAAATCTCTCATCGACAATCCATTACAGGATATAATCATTAGATTGCTATGAAGGAGATCTCACAGGAAGAATATATTGGTTTAGAAGTGTAAAATATTAACAGCTTTGTATAAAACTAGCCATTGAGAGGAGATGACCGATGGATGTCTTAGGATCTTTTTCCTAGCTCATAGACATGCAGGCTTCTTTCCCATGAGTCTGTATTAAAGCATGCATATATTTGCTGAGGTATGTGGCATCACACAGAAATCTGAATCATTGGCTAGTTCTACGTATCTTTGCAAGATTAAAAAATGACTATCCACCATGATAGTGGCTTTAAGAGAAGCTTCGTTCCCAAAAGCTATCTCCAGTGTAGGTAGGTTGAGATGGAATTTCTCCCCCCCTGGACCTTTTTCTTGCTTTGTAGGATCCCAGTAGATAGAACTGTCCCATTCCTGGCAAAGCTTTGCAGCTTTTCTCACAGCCACGGGCACGACTCGCAGATGCATCATGGGACTTGTAGTTCCACAACAGCTGGAGGGCCGGAGTTTGCCACCCCTACGCCAAGATGATACATTATTTCTGTGGGCTTTTTATTTTTGTATTCGTGTGCTTTAGAATCTGCTTTTGGAAACAAATGGCAAGATTTGTTGCGTATACTGTTATAACTGTCCCAGGTGGGGTTCTCATTACAGCCCAGTACAAGGCCTGTCAACTCTAGTAAACTGGGAACCCTAACATTGATTGCAGGATCCGCAAGAGGCAACGATTGAACTTTTATTTGGTCAATATATAGACAAAATTAGAAATAAGAAAGATTGGTGCAGTGATTACAGGCCAAATAAAATATATAGATTTCCTAAAGGTCCCCATACCCCTATCGATTATAATTATCAAATCGTCCACGCATGGTCTTTCGAACGATAATCGATTAGTTGAAGGGAATTGTGTTAGTAGTGCTAACGAACGATTATTGAAATCGACATTGGTTTGTGGATGATGGGGTATTCGAGTGGAAATTGAACGGTTCGATGAGGGCACTAAGGAACTCGATTGATAATCAGAGTGTATGGCCAGCTTGACTCCTTCTGGCTATGACCATTATCTTTCTGTACCATCATGCTATAGTCGTTTGGGTGACTTCCCAACATTTGTGCATTCCATAATCAACAGACAAGGCAAGAAAATAAAACATACATTTGGTAACCTGAATAATTAATGTGGTATACAAGGTACTCTAATCTTAAGAACCCAATAGGTAATGCTTTTTTCTGGTGGTATTAACATAGCAGCAAATCATTACCTCAGGATTCTGTATATTAGGCAGTGTTTTAATTCATAATTCTATGTTCATTCATCAGTTTATTTAAATTGTGTTTTTTTTTGTTTTTAATGTCAGTTTGCAGGAGCATTGCAACATTATGAAGTATGTGAGTAATTAAAGATTGTAATAAAGGAGATTAGACGCTTTTGTTGGATTTGTAGCATAAAGTATACCTTTTAGTAATGATCTTTTGAGTCTAACACAGGCTAGACCAAACCTTAAAGTGTAACTATAGGCAAAATTACATATATGCAGGCTGTCACCAGCATTAACACAGCAGTGTAATGCCCCATGAAATAGTTTTGTTACCTGGTAATCCTACTAGTAGACCAAACTTTGCAGCAAAAATGTCATGCATTTACAGGAACTCCCTATCTTAAGCCGGGTGCACATGGTCATATATTTTTTTTAAATGAAAAAAATGTGACAGATTGCACTAACAGCTAGGGTGAGTGAATTTCCCACTATGTGCATTGTATTTTGAAACTGGCACCGGTCACTGTCAGAATACCCAGACAGTGCTTGCTGATTGGCTGTAATCACAGTTCAGCCGATTAGTTTATCAGCATATCTCTTGGGCAAAATTCAATCTAATGATGGACTTCTGTTGAGAGGATAGGGTCACCCATGAATGGAATTTCACCTGCTACCTGTTGGAATTTGCTCTGTGTGTACCCAGCTTTAGCTCCTAAATGCTTAGTGCAATTAACCAGCAGGGGGTATTGCCTGCAGAAGATTGGAAGAAAATACAGGGAGCCCATCGTCCTGGGAGCTGGTGGTCTCCATTTTAAAAATTTAGACCTGAGAGAGAGCAGAAAACTGGCAATGTTAACAGCTAATTAAAAAACGTTTCCTCACAATATAAAAAAACTTTGCAAAACTACATGTACAAAGCGACACTTTACACAACCTTAGTATTTGGGTTTAGATACTCTTTCATGAAAGATCAAGTCATTTGCAGGTTTACATTTAACAAAATATGACATTGTTATTCAGCCATTGCTCTACTGTGTTATGAGGCCTTTCAGAATGAGCTATAGCCATGAGTTAGCTTTTGTTACTACACATCACAGGGGGGCAGTGTGGCTCTCAGAGTAGTCAAGCATGACCATGTAGACCAGGGCTAGGCACTCCAGCTGTGGTAAAACTACTAGACCCATCATGCCTATGCCCCTGGGGCTCTTGCAATGCATCATTGCGTTAGTAGTTTCACCATGGCTGGAGTGGCAAGGTTGCCGACCGCTGATGTACACCTTTCTGTAATACAGCAGCAAGCAATGTGCTTTGAACAGTAACCCCTAGGGGATAGTCAGATCTAGCTGACTAAAGCTAGAAAGCTGATGTCTGGTTACTGCATGTTATTGCCATTTTCTCTTATTATACATTTAGCTTTTTTTTATATCTAAGAAGCCGTAGCTCAGAGCCCCCCAGATAGATGTAATATTTAATTGTTATTACTACCCTCAGCTGATAAGAGGAGATCTGAGTGGATTGCTGCTCTTTTTTTCTTATTGTATAAACCCTGCAGTTTATGTAGCTAATGACCCCAGCATGGCAGTTTCTCTATTATAGTCTACTAGCCCTGGAAATAAGCTTTTTTTTTTAACTCACCTAAACTGTCCTTGTGCATTCCAATTTAGGGATGACACAGGTCAAGTTCTACTGTCCTTAAAGTTCCCCATAGAAAGCTAGCATTTTGGACAATTATTGCTGAAATTTGAGCTGTCAGTGGCCCTGTTGACACAAGCCGGCTTGGCATAAATTGATTAAAAAATGACTGAGCTGGGTGGAAAATTATTGGCCAAACAGTGGCCTATCAGATGCAGTTACTGTTTGGTAGTGCCATTGTATTTAGGCAACTGGGGGTGCCAAGGCTGCCTAAATACAGCTGGGCTGAATATAGCTGGCAGTGGAAACTTCCTGAACAAGAGAAAATAAGTAAATTGATTTTCCGTTGGCTGAATACAAGAAAATTGAGTCCTTTATGGCAGCCTTAACCCATCAGCATTTAGCTACAATACATTGTCTGATTTGATAAAGACTGGAAATGATGATAGATCTTTATGGCTGGAGAATTGTTTCCATGAATCTAAACTGGTGTTTCTGAGATATATTGCTGTAAAGTAAAGTATATTGTGTTCATGACTTCCTATTTCTGTACAGTAGAAGTACCAGGCCAGCCTCTGAGGTTCTAGGGTTAAATTATATTGTTGTGGTGCAGTAGCATTTGTGTAACATGCGTTAGCCATTTATTTTTAATGGCCAATGCACTAAGGGAAGTGCGGCAGCTTTGATTCACATGCGTTGCAGTGCACCACAATGCGCGGTAACAATTGTGGTGATACATGTATGTTTTTGTGTGTTTGTGCATGGATAGTCCATTCAACATGAAAGAGCTGCCTTAACACAATGCACATTAAGGCAATTGAATCAAGTTATCACAGATAGGGACTCAGTTTACTTACTGATTGATGGTTGTTCCTTTTAATCATCATTAATGCAGTTCATCCAAAATGGATTGTTTCCATCCTATGACTAAAGTAACTAATCTCCTCTGGTTTCTTATAAATCTTCAGAACCACAATGGGAAGCTCCGTTTTGTAGGTCCGCACATCTGCTATGACCATTTTGAAGGGGGTTTGTTTTTCATTTCCCCCCAATTTCTTATACAATACTGGAATTGAGGCAGGGCAACACTGTGAAGCAGCATCGGAATTAGCCAGAGAATCTGGTAAGAATACCTTTCTGCTAGATTTCCCAAGTCAAATAGGATGTGACCCCCCCACCAGTGCCTTAATTCAGCTCACTGGTGTCCATATGTGATGTCCCGATTCTTGTAATTCTTTGGATAGCTTGCACCATAATAAAGCCGACTTGGGACAAGCAGAGGCACATTTTAACTTTATTTATTTAAATGTTGTGTATATTTTTGAGAAATGTGAATATTAATAGGTGTACTTCCCCATAGAATTAATTGAACCCTCCAACACTGGTCTCTCTTACTCAAGGATATACCTGTTTTTCCATATATAAAGGCACTGAAGTGCCATGTTGTAGTCAATATTGTATATAAGAGGGCCCTCAGGTGATTGTTGTACTTTTATCTCTATAGATTTCAGGTAGCTTCAGCTCCGTTTTTTTCTTGAACCCAGGGCCAAGACACTGCTTGACAAGTATTTCTGATTGGGAATTCAAAGAACTTTGCATTCTTATCAGCCATTTCAGTTTCCTTTCAAAGAATGAGAGCTTTCATGCCAACTGTACTAGGGGTTAACTAATATAGATTTTTAGGAACCGATATTGATTATGGGCCACCTTTCAGGCCGATAACCGATGTTGGCTACCAATATTCTATTTACTTGCAGCTAAATGTGAACAGCAGACAGTCGTCTGATATTGGCCAACCCCTACTTAGACTCCCCCCCTCCCCAT